TCTAGATCGACTTACAGTTTTACTTCCCAGTAACTCTCGAACAAACTTTTCTCATGATGTCTTCAAATCCATGTAAGTAGTATCTGATTTGTTACCAATCCGTTCGGTTTTGTGGCCCATCGGCAACGCTGGTTGGTTGAAAACTACCAAGGCTCAGTATAGGATATGGGTCACAACGTGTATCTGTAATTTTTTCGCACATCTACTAAAATTTGCCCTCACTGCTACAGGTACTGGACGGGATGGTGTAGTGACAAGTGGCGCACGACCATACACACAAGGTCACGATTTCGAATCCCGGATCGATATACCACCAAGGCCAACCGAACCTTCCATCCCTCCGGGGTCGGTGAATTGGTACCAGATTCGTATGGGAGGATAAAAGCATTGACTTGTGCATCGGCCGGCCACCGCAAGTCATTGTATAATTCACATACGCATTTAATAAGCCACAGTGATGTTGAATGGAAGTCGAATGCGTGGGCGCATCTCTCAGATGGGATTGTTCAACTCCCAAAGACTTTGCCTTTTTCATGGGTTACACTGTGCATTAAGGACTGTTTCTCTAGTAAGACTCAAATTCACTGTGAAAAAAGTAAATTTTTACAGATCAAAGTAAAAATGTTCGCCCTGCTGCTCCAGTTTATGAGTTTTCAATTTATGGCAGATAAAACCCCTCAACTCGGGTTCGGATCCACGGTCCCAAAAATCTGTAAGTTTCCTTTACCAGTTGGAATGAATTGATGAAGAAGCTAACTGCACTTCTTTCAGACGTGTTCTATGCATTCACATTGGCTGTCACTGTTATTAGCCTTATTATCACTGTACTGATTGCCGCGATGAGCAGAATCAAGAGGAAGGTGCCTCCAGGTGAGACAGGAATTAAGTTTTACAGAACGTAGTACTGTATTAGCAATAATTTTCAAGCAGAATTAAATTCTTCAAGGTTCACTCTTGGTTTTTATTAAATTTTTCCATTTTTCGAGCTTTCCATGATTTCGCAATTTTCAGCTCATCGTTTCACCCTTCTCGCTTCTGTTCTGAATGCAAATCTCTGCTGTGGATCGGAAGAGGAACCTGTAACAGATGGAACGTCGTCAAAGGTAAGGTAACAGGAGAAAAGTCAAGAAAGCCTTAGGAAAGACAATTGTATTGAGAAAAACCTCATGCAACGTCATGAAACCACAGAGATGAGAGCTTTTCCCTACGGAATGATGAAGGGCAAAGAGTAATCAACAGATGCCGAAAAGGGTTTATGATGGCATCCATTTACGTTTCCATTTTCCGGACTTCGGTACCCTATAAATTGCTCGAGATTTGAAAAAAATTCTGCACTGAAAGGCTTCCTCCAAGCTATGTTGTCCGCACAATGCCCTTTCGTTAGGGGAAAAACCTTTCAGCTCTTAGAACGGAAATGTGCATCAAGATGAGGCTCTAATAGGGGCTTACGCTGAATTTGTTTGAGAGTTCCACGTCTCAGGAACTGAATAGGGAACAGTTGCAGAAATTGTTTAGTACTTCTAAAAGAGAAATTAGTGACTTTTTTACAGTCCCTATTCCTTCGATGAGTTCCCATTTCCCATAGTGATCAGTGTTTTCAAATACTTCCCGAACTTGTTCATTATACCAACCATAACGGAAAGGGTCGACTGTAAAGGCTCACTATCTTCC